GATAGATAGATAGATAGATAGATAGATAGATAGATAGATAGATAGATCGATAGTTGGATAAAAAATAACTTGTGCATAATGTATGCATATCCAGTACATCCATGCATGCATGCAGACAAAAGTGAGGCTTAATATGATAATCTATGCTTTGCATGTGTATAGAAACATTAGACAGCCTGAAAGCAAACCTTATGAGATGCTGTGTTATAATAACTACATACGGCTCATTTCTTACAAAGACAGCCTAACATGCAGCTCTGTGTGTATACTTCAAGTCATGATGAAATCCAAGCCCAGCTGCTATTATCTATGATGAGGCAAAGCTGAAGGACAACACTACATATACATTCAACAGATCTTTCCATGCAGAACCTATTGGGTATGCTCTAAAGGGGGGCATGGTGCATAACTGAGATTCTGTTCTTAATCTGCAGCTTTTTTAAACTCTGGGTGACCATGGCAACAAACAAAGAAAGGCAGTGTGACATACATTATTACCGGTTAGAAAATGTGTTCAATTACTGATGTGTTATTAAGCAAAAGCCGATCTGCATGGCACATAGAGCAGGGATCAATTTGCCAGAGACCACTGCAAGTTAGTCCGGGGTCTGTACCTGGTCCCTGGCCTAACGTTAGAGATGTAGCTGCAGCCACCGGACCGGCTACTCCCACTGACATCATCCCCATTGCTGGACCTTCCGTTCCCAAAAGAGGACCGTGTTGTTGTCCTCCGTGAACTCATTTCCCAGCAGCTAGAATGGTGCTGTAGAAAGATAAAAGTTCTCCAGGAAAACCAGTTTTGAAGATTTTCTCTCTTACTTCGGATCTTTCTTGAAACACTAGTTCAAACTAAAAGAGAACAGAAAATGAAAACATTTAAACTGGAGATTTCACCAAAAATTAGTTTTAACATAAACATATTCCTTGTTTAAGTTTTTAATAAATTTGGAGTGAAATAAAAAAAATCTCCACGTTAGATGCTCTGTGAAGTTAAACTATTCCTCTTTTATGTGTTGCCCCAAAAATGAACTAATTCATTCATCAATTTTCAGCTGACAATTTTCCGCAGTAAGTTTCTTAAGTTTAACTCACCATTCAGAAGTTTCATTCCCTCCTATGACAGATACCCCAAGGCACTGACTTAAGGCGCTGTAATTTCCAATCAAACATGAGCATGCGTAGGCTCCAGGACTATTTATAGTTAGCCTGCAAATAGGCACAAGAGCTCATCACACTTTCCAAAATTCCTTCGGTCCGTTTTATAAAGGAAAAACAACATGTCACAGAAACAAGAAAGATATAGACATCAGTTCAGAACAGAAAAATAAAAAACGATGCACTTTTTTTTTTCTTTGTCAGCGGTGTAATAAGAGAAAAGAGGGACGACCTGCATGGTTAGCCTGCGGTCACTTTTTAAAAACGTTTTAACTGTGCACAGAATGTGGTTAACAGCCACATTAGAGGATCATTAGAGGATGATGCCTTTACTCGTAAGCACATGAGAATAAACAGGATATTTTTTTATTCTTTTGTGACCATAAGGATGCTTTTCAATTGTTAAAGTGTGAGACATCACACGCACCACTCCGGACAAGGTCAAAAGTGCAAACTGAATGTAAATTGTATAGTGTGATAAAAACCTACCTATTTCTGAGGAACGCATTGTCCTGTTGCTGACAATTACATCGGGTCCCCTGAGAAAAAGCAGTAGGAATAGAACAGCCTTATATAGGCAGATACCGCTGGCCAAACAGCTATGTGCGCTTATCTTAACACAAGCATGCCAGCAGATAGAAACACAGGCTGTTGCACTCAGACACATCACGGATCAGCAGTTTAAGTGGTTTCGGTATAACCTAAGTTACCTGAAAGTAATGATAAGATTTTTGGGTTAAACATGACACCCCCCCCCCCTTCTTATTTTAAACTTCATTACAGTTTTGCGCTGCAAACAAGCTTCAAATCCTGACCCTGACCACCTGGCACGGGACGACCATGAGTTATAGCTTCCTGACGGAGCTCTGCCTCTCAAGTTCAAAGGTATCAATCTGATTATGCTCATCATGTTGCACATGCCTATGCGCCGTCCTTTAATCTATTTAGAATATTTTGTTCCATCCATCCATCATGTTCTTTTGTAGCTCTCTTACTTTCCATCTTTGTTTCCAAAAAAGTGATTTTTTACTTTGTTTTGCAACATGGAAATCAGATAACGATGGTCATAAGGCTATAAGAGAATCAATTCTTCTCACTGCAGCACAAAACAACTCGACTTATTCAATAGACATGTATGGGCTGCAATCTTTTTCCATAAGCAGGATGGAACACAAAACAGACGAAGCGTGGTCTGGATACGTAGGATTGGGAGTATGGAGAGATGTCAAAGCACACCAGGAAGTAGACACTGCCATGTAACTGGAACTAAGTGTGAGTGTTGGTGATATAATTCTATTAATTTTATATAAAAAAGATAAAGATGAATTAATCCAAACATTATAATTGCAATAAAACAGCATGAGAAAATATCCATAAACTGACTTTACTGATTACAAAAGGATCCAAGGAAAGACGCGATTATAAATGATTTTCGCTAAAAAACAACCAAACATTTCAGTAAAATTGAATCTCCTTTATTTATGGAATCTATGTATTAATCACATACCTTCGAATTTTCAAAGCAAATCAGAGGAATTGTGTTTTGATTAACATTTTCTAAATCTGAAACCATTTAAAGTCAGTATAGGACCAATGATCTCAGCCTTGCTCATCTGTTTCCTGTTATTTTTTCAATTGTGACACTTCCCAAACCCTTTTGAACCTTAGTCTGGGGTTGTTGCTGATGATGCTGTCTGAGACCAACACCTCTGGCTTTTAATCTTTTTTCAGTGTCATCAAACTTCTGTGGCAATGGTCAAGGAGGTGTGGAGGCCCGCTGCTGCTCAGGTTGTGTGAAGAGGTGTGTGTTTGTGTGTGCCTGGCGGAGACGAGGATAGACCGAAAGGTATGAGGCAGGTTGGACAACTGACAGCTCTTCAGTTTCACTGTGGCATTTATTCCCAGGTCCATGTGCGTCTAATAAATAGCGACCTTTCAGTGTGTGGCCATGAACATTTTATTCACAACTTCCTCTTGATCTTTCAATATTCAGCTATAATATCACAACTCAGTGGACAAACTGAAAGTAATTTTTTTGCTTCACCAACCCTCCATCCTTTTAGATCAACATCCAAGATCACCTCCCTCATGAAGTTTAGTCTGTCAGACATAATGAGTGAAGATTTTCATATTTCTTCCCATTTTTTTCATTTTTTTTCTAGTTGATATATTTGAAAAGTTTTGACATTATGTATGCCCTTTCTAAGTTTAAACTAAGTAATGCATCTTATGAAAAGTCGAAAATTCTCAGAAGATGGCAATATAAATTCAAAGTCACCCTGCTGAAGTGGATGAAGCTGGATCCCACCTTTATTGAGTGTTTCCCCCATCGAGAGGTTGTGTGCGTTAATGTGTAATAATAGTTTATGAGAAACTGTCCGACTAATGGTGATGAATTACCAATTTTAAGAGCCTTTGTCTGTTTTTTGTGAGAAAAGATTTTTAAAATAAACCATGCTTTGATAGTATGCTGTCCAGTGAGTGGAAATCAGTTATTTGATGTCAGTGGGTGTTTCTAGTCAATAAGCCTCAGAGATAAATCAGTACATTTAAAGCTCCATGAAACACCAGCTGCCTGGGAACATGCTGTTCTAATTCAACTGGGATCTTTCAGTTCACAGATCCAAGATGGTTTAGGTGGTTAGGTGTCGACACAGACGCACAGGGGAGAGACACGCCAGCAGACAAACCGAAAAGAAGGCGGTTAAAATTTGCATTTCGATGACAGATTAAAAAACCTGTCGGAAAACATTGGTAACGAGAGATGTTCGTCATATCAAATAAAAGAGAAGTAAACATCTACGTGCTTGTCTCTGGTGGCACGCAAACAAGTGTCAGGGAAACAAACAACCTGCACTAATAAATACAAATGGTCTAAATGGTTTCTGCCCAACCTGCTGAGGTCAGCACTGAAGGTTTACTGGCTGGGTGGCCCGGAAACACACTCCTGCAGTCACACACAGTTGGACAGCTGATTGTTTTGATGTTTGACAGATCTCTGTGGAAACTGAGCTCGTCTTTGTACAGCCGTCTGCCCCTGCACTGAGACTCTGACATCATCCTCTCGATATTCACACCAGTGTCAGCTCTAAGGAAGCAGAAACAGGAGAACACTTGACCATCGGGAACAGCTGTCTGTCCCCTGCTTGTCCACACGCACACACAAAGTGCACACATCTTATCTTCTTATAGCACCACACTGCCCTCTGTCAATGAGAAGCGGACAGTAAACATGCCCAGTGAGGTGTACCGTACGGATTTATGAGTTTCTAGTAATAGTGCAAACACAATCCAGTTCCCATTGTTTTGTATCTACGAACGAGGCAGTGGAAATATCAGTCATCACAAAATACACAAATTAAATTTGCTCTCAGAATGAACAAGCATTGGTCATAGGATAGAGTTTGGCTTTAGTGTCATTGCAGGTAAAAATAAGAACTATAGCAATGAAACATTTCTGTATATTAACACATTTGTAATGTTTTTTAGAAAGAAAACTGTCACCGACTCTTTTACTGGAAGGTTTCGGAAGGCTGCACTGTGAAAAGATGCCTCTGCAAACAGTGCTGCAGTGTCCTCTACTGGTCATAACAGAAAGCTACTTCAGTTGAACAAGCCTTTTTTTATCGACTTTTCATTGAAAGCAGAACAAAGACAAATAGATGCATTCATAAAGCCACTGAACACCGACTCTTGTCCATCAAATGACATAAATGTGCGTAAATACAACTGCACGTAGTTATTTCAACACTTTTTATTTGAACAGGATACAAATACCCGAGCTTGAATAAAAAAAGACAGAGATTAGAATAAAAATACATGATAAAAAGACAGTAGCTGTATCTTAGATCCATCAACTGAAAGTTTCAGGTCTAGGTTTTCGTGAGCTGTTCGGGTTAGGGTTATTGCCATATATTGCACAAACTACAGCACAAATTGAATGTTCTTCAGCTTTTCATTCCTCTTGATATACTCACCTACTCAATAAGTATTCAATTATTAATTATAACCAGTATTTTCGATGGATTTAGCATTTAAGATTTTGTATCTTCAATTTTCAGAGTGGTTTGTAGTATTCCCATAATGTAATCTACAGTATTCAGCCCAACCCTGAAAACATACCAAAAAACCTTACATAAACCAGCATGAACTTTTTAATTTTACAAGACATATGTGCAAAATTGGCTAAAGCAAAATTAGACCAACCTCCACAGATATTGGTGTTTTTGCCCTTACTTTGAAAATGGCAATTTTGATGTCCTATTTAAATCTGCGCTGAATAGACATTCATCGCATCGACAACCCAGTGAGGTTAAAGTAATTATTGTTCAGGTATCTGCTTTAGAAATTTAAATCAAAACCAGCTTGGTGTCATTGCTGAAGCATAAAGTGTACCACTAGCCAAGTGAGATAAGACCTAAGAGCTTTTGACTGGTGGAGATGGGGAATGCGGTGGATAAAAGATTCATTTAAATGTATTGAATACAGAAAGGGACAGAAAGTGAATACATAAGCATTCTGATACTTACACCTGCATGCAATTACGCTACCTGATCTCTAGAGTCACTTTCTGACTGAAGTACTACCTTCCGCTATGGGACAGTTGGGTGGACACGGGCCAGAAAATGTCCTCCCAGAACAGGAGAGGGTGATGTAGCCACTGTTCAACCAATACATCATACAGAGGAATTGCGCACGAGTTTTGTCCGTTTTGCTTTCTTCTGAAGCATTTCAATGACGGTTGGAGCCTGGCGCTTTGCACCTTTAGGAAAAGCAAAGAGATTACTTTTGACGTTTTTCTTGAAATTAAGCTTTCCAACAAACACGACCATCATCAGCAAGATAAATTGCAAATCGAAACATGTTTATGGCAATACCTTGCTTTTTCTTTGGTGACTCTGTGCCGTCTGAGGATCTCTTTGCATAAGACTCTTTCATCCTTTGAACATTTTTCTTGCTGATCACCTCGTGCTCTACAATCGGACACGGGTAGTCTTTACCCACAATGCATCCTGCTGCCTGCTGGACACTGCGCGGAGCTTTCCAAGGCTCATAAATGTACTGAGCTGGAAACTTCTTCAAAATAGGAAGGTACTTTCTGCAAATAAATGTAAAAGAACCTTAATCACATTTTCTTTTTTTCTTATTCTTTTAAACATTCAATTGGGTATAAAGGGCCATGATCTTACTTGATGTAATCTCCATTTTTGTCTGTCTTTTTACCAAAAGCGATAGGAGAGTAAACCCTGAAATACTGGTGAAAGAAGGTGCTTGCTGAGAGCCACTGCCAGTTTCCAGCATTAAGAGCCCAGTCACCATCCAGTAAGAGCTCCTCAAAGACCTTCAGAAGGAACATTAGAGTAAAAGGAACTTGTTAAGAATTATATGAACTTTGATTATGGAATGTCTGGTTGGTGAATTTTGCCAAGGTTCACTATAATGAGTGGCGAGTTTAAGGTTTACAAGCTGCCTATAAAATCCACATGAACCAACACACGAGTTCATCTCCTCACCCTCTGGCCTTCTTCCCAGCTGATCCACAGGTCTCCTCTGGTGAGGAAACAAGCAACAGCGTGTCTTGCCAGATGGTGGATCCAGCCGTCCTGTCTTAGCTGGGTCATGATGGCATCAATGAAGGGGAAACCGGTGCGGGCCTTAAAAATATACATCACAAGTTCTCACCAACTTGTCACAGCAAAGGAGACAGGTTTGTCCCTCATGTGACTGTGGTGACCACACATTTCAAATTCTGTACCTCTTTCCATGCAGTTAGATACTCAGAGTTTTTGTCCCAGTCTATCTGAGTGCACACAGGGTTTCCCTCCATCTTGTTAAAATTAGGGATGCCCACACTGGCAGTGTAGAAGAATTCTCTCCAGAGCAACTGACCATGAAGAGAAACTGGAGGATCTGAGTGCTTGCTCTGCATAAATCACACAGGTCAGAGTAAGTAGTAGTAGTAGTTTACAGAATAAGAGAGAATTGCCTGTGCAACTCTAGTGATGTTGTAATCACCAAAACCTGCACTGTGATGTAAACTCACCCCCTTATAGACCTCAGTGAGCCTCCACCAGAAGGTTCTTACTGACAGGCAACCAAAGGTGATATATGGACTGAGAACTGTGGTGCTGGGGCTCAAAGAGTTTGGTGATGTCTGCGGTTTCTCAAAGCTACACACCCATGCCTGAATCAAAGAAACAGATAAAAGAACGGGACAGATCATTTGAAAAAGACATTTGAGAAATGCCATATTTTACTGGTATGACTTGCAATGCTTCCCTGAATTTGTTTATTGGATTCCGTCTACAGTATATTCACACCCTTCAGTGTTGCAGATTAAGAGAAGTGGGAGCTGTGTGGGAGCTGAATACCTTTCTTTTCATGTGTTCATCTAGTCTCCTGAGAGCCTCACACTCGCCCCCTGGAAACAGCTCCTCTCCAAGGGATGAGGTGACACAGCCAAGTTCCTCTAGTGTAGGAATGCCATATTTCTTCTCATGTTTCTCTGAACAAGGTGTCCTCACATCTTCGAAAAAGCAAATAGGTTTTCACCCAACCACCATTAAAAATGTCCCATTTGTTTAACGGGCAGCACTACAACAATTCCAATTAAATTTTGTGGTAATGTGGAGTCTGTTCATTATCTACCTTTCATGTCTTCCATGGTTGGAGCAGGGATGGGCTTCTTAGGTGCGCCGAGCATCTTAACTACTGCTTGAAAACGTACATAAGTGAGAGGAGGCTTCCCATTGTTTTCCTCGATCACCCTACAGGGACATGACAATCCACAGCCACTTTAACAAGCATAGCACACACTGGAGGAAGACAATGGAGAGTGGAGTACGAACATTACCGGTCTATATCATAAAGGGTGTGTGAGATCTTGTAGATGACATCGACTCCGTGTTCTTTGGCCAACGAGGTCACTTTTTTGTCACGGGTCAGACTGCTGGGCTCCGTGTCGTACTCGTAGGTCAGCTTTGTTATGTTCCACTTGTTAAAGAGTTTGGGAAACACATCTTCTGGCTTCCCCCGAACGACAAACAGCCTGAGGAGTCAAACAGCGCAGTATGAGAACATGTGTTTGACAACGGCAGAAGAAGCCATTGTTTCTGGCTGTCAGACCTCAGTGTGTGTGTGAATCCTCTACCTTATGAGACACCACCTCACTCAGTTACCACAACTCCATTGAACAAATTACATTGTTTCTCATTATATTTTTATTGGAGCTCTGAAATGAATTAAATGAAATACTCATACTTCATTAAACTGAAAACTAAAGCTAGTTACCTTGAGTTGAGTTTGCGCAGGCTGTGGTCCAGGTCTGTGAGTGCCCCGATGAGGAACCTCCAGCGGTTGATGCCCACATGGGTGTCATGGTGGTAAGGATCCAAGATGAATACCGGATATAGCTCCTTACAGTCTCTCAGAGCAGCCACCAGTGCTGGGTTATCATGCAACCTGAGTCCCTTGCGAAACCAATGAATGCAATTTTGAGCCATTCCCGCGAACCTATGAAAACATGAAAGGCACATATTAATCATGAAAATATATACAAAGGTGCAGAAACCAGTTAAATAAAAAAAGTCTCAAGTTAATGACGGAATTTACACTTGGGATACTTTTATTTGCACAAAGTAAATTTGGTTTAAAAAAAAAAGCAGAACAGCAACTAATACAAATAAATTATAGAAATCTCACCTTAGCTTCAGTGTACTGCATTGAAAAACTTCAAATGAATGTGAACATTGGAGCAACGATGTGTGCTCCGGTATATTACTCTAAAATTAAACTGGGACCCAAAACCATAAACATGCATCTCATAGACTCATCGATTAGAACTAAATGTTGCTTGATGTCTAAAGAATAAACATACTCTTACAAACCGAGCCTGAAGCCCTCTCCAGATCCGTTAGGCTGCAGATTTGTATACGGAAGAGCCTCAGTTTTGTAACACACATGCTGAATGAGTTACAAAACTGTTGCGTAAGCAATCAAACCAGCCAATCAGATGGGTTTATTCCACCGCACGTGCAACTCCAGGAACAAACCCTCAGCTCGTCCACCAGATGTCACCAGAGTGCGGAAATGGCCAGACCGTGAATACCGCGAAAACAGCACTCAGCTTTGTTCTTTTTATTTTGTTTTTTGGAATGGAAGGATAAATTATCAATTTCTTAGTTTTCTCAATCAAATGGAAAGCTGGAAAACACAAAAAAATTTAATTTTTCTGCCAGGAGTCGACACACCACAAAACACATCGTGAACAGGGGCAGCTCGTACCAGTACCCCATCGTAGCTCGCCGTGATCGTATAGTGGTTAGTACTCTGCGTTGTGGCCGCAGCAACCCCGGTTCGAATCCGGGTCACGGCATTGCGAAACAATGTCACGGCAGATGGGTGTCATTTTTTAAAGTATTATCAAGATATTTTTCTTTAATATATTTACAAACAGCAACAAAATATTTTTTATTCAATATGCAAGAATCCAGTGGATAAAAAAAAAAAATGGCCACCGTCGTTAAACACTTGTTTGACTCCAGGAGCAACTGATTAACCGTTGACCAGTTTGAACAATTGCAGATTAAAACCATATACCTTCTATCCCACTATAAAATCCGTTAGTTGTGGCTCCATTTAGTTGCTGCTTACAACTCACCTCTCTACAGACGTTTGTCATGACTCACTCACCACCAGAGGGTGACATTGTTCAAGATACAGGCGAATAAAGTTGGACCAACTCATCAGACGGAAATGTCCGGTGACCGCTGTCCAAAAACAGTCGACTCTTCCTGGTCTGTTTCCCACCCTTTATGTAGACGCTAGAATTCAATTGCTAGAATGTTTGGAATACATCTACGGAATATAATCATTTCTGACTGCTACATGACAAATTTTACTACTTGAAAGATGCAATAAATCCTTTCGTGGAGGATTAACTAAATCAATATATAAAATACGTGCATAGATAGATACACCAGCAGGTTGCTGCGTTCTCGTCCTGTCGGATATTTCATGATTAACAAAGAGTTCAGCTCAACAAAGCTGCAGAGTCATTTGGTCAATATGGTTAATGGTTGGACAAAAAAAGGATAATTCCGTGATCTCGATTTCAGTACTTTTGTGGCGATGCACTTTGTTTATAGTTATTCAGACGTCAGCCCACTCCTCTACCGGAGCAAAGTCTGGAGTGCAAGTGAAGGCCCTGCTGTTATTATTCTCAACCATGTGGCTGCCGTCACGACGTAGGGCAGCCTATCGGAATTTCGCCTCCTGTCGTCAACTCCACGGAGGCAGCGTCTCAGTCGCTGCCGAACCCACCGCTCAGTCAGCATCCACATATCCAGGAGCACGGAGAGCGGCATGGCAAAGGCGGGGGGCCGGGGGGACGAGGCGTGGTGAGGGGTGGGCAGCTGAACCGGACCGGAGCGGGGCAGCGGTGTGCGCAAAGCCCCGCGCAGGAACGCCAAACCCGGGGCCACTCATCGCTCACACGATGCGCCACCGCCGCCTCTCCTCACAGTTGCACCCGCTGACCAGGTGTCTTTGGAGCACGGAGCAGGGACGCCGCTGACGTGACAGAAGGTGAACCTGTATCTATGTGCTGTGTGCACTTGTCTCTGGTCCCGTTCGCAGACGATCGTGAAGATGCTGAGCCGACTGATGAGCAGCAGCATCAGGAGTCTGGACCGGGAATGCAACTGCACCGTGCGACTGCTGGACGACTCGGAGTACACCTGCACGATTCAGGTCAGTGGGGAACAAACATTTCTCTTTTTTTCCCCTCACCATCACCTTGTCGCGGGAGACGCGTTTCTGGCACGAAAGGGGACAAATGATCCAGCTGAGATGGCATTTTTCTTGCTCATTTCTCTCCTGTTTCAACCAGCTGCTTCTATGATAAATGCATTTTAAATGTGGGTTTATGTAGTTTATGTCCAGTCGGTTGCACGATGTGTCTGGTGTTGTGTGAATCATCATTTGAGGATGCAGATGTTGCTTTCCTTAGGGGAATTACCTGTGATGACATGCCGTCTTGACCGCACGGGGTGCGTGCATTGCGTAGTAAAATTCGGGGATTATCAGACAGGACTGCATGCCAACTGAGAGAATGATATAAAAAAATGCATCTGCCTATAAGCTGTTATCGTGTTTGCGGCATTATGCCTGCGCTGCTCTGGCTGCATTAATCAGGATAATATGGTCTTGAACAATGTCACGGGATGGTTGAGTGGGGATTTTTGGATCCTCTGGCAGCATGATATTGAGATGTTGTTTACGACTGGATCTTCCAGCCAATGTTCACATATAGGTGTCACTTTGCCCTTCAGACTTACAGTATTTGTCTGAGCACTGGGCATTTGGTAAGATAAAGACCTCACCATCAGTATAGCTAGTTATGTTTTTTTTCTTCCAGAAAATAATAATTCTTAGTTATTTCAAGGAACAAGCCACATGTATACATTAGCAAAGCACTTTGACTAAATCCAGTCCAGACATTCTTGGATGATGTAAATGCTTGGAGCTTAATAAGAAATAAGCAGCAGCTGTCCCTTTTGTTCAGTTCAGCTTGTTAGCTGCTGTGACAGTGGTGGTCTGCTGGAATAGAAACAATCACAAAGGTGATTTGGGGTATTTTAGCAGGTGCTTTGTCTCCATGTGACCAGGTTTTTGTCAACACTGTGGCATTGCCGCTTTGCTAGGTGCGGTCACAAAGCGTTGCCTTGGAATTAGTGTATAAACTGTTGATAAAAACAGAATATAATGATTTGAAAATCTCATTTTTTTACTCACAACAAAATATATAAAATGTGTTTAGGCTATTGGAAATAGCACTTTAGAGGGGTAGAGTCTCTCAGAATTACAAACAGGCAAATGTTCAGCCATCTGCTAAAAAGCTATATCCACATTGCAATGAAATAGTTGTAAAATGTTCTATAAAGCAAAACCACTAGGACTTTTTTATGATGTTTGTCAACTGAAGCACACAATCTTATCAGTGGATACTTAGAAATACATTTCTATCATCAAAACAGTCTGAGGAAAGTGGAAAGGGGTCCTATCTGATGAAAAAAAATGAGAAAGTTTATCGAAAACCCAGAATAAACAGATGCAGGATCATTTAACTTCCTTCAGCATTCAGTTCAAAAGCTGGCCTCTTTCACAGTGAGTGCATAAGTGCCTACGGAACTGGTAAGTTACACATATGGAAAGGCACCGTCGTTGCTGAAAGGTATAAGTTCAATAACAATATCTCAGGAAAAGGTTTTTGCATAGTTCAGCAAAACCACGCCGAACTACATGCTGCATCTGTTACAGCAGGATGGCTTCATAATAGAATAGTCCAGGAAATGAAAGCATCTGAGTTATCATGAAACACGAAATATGACAAAGATATCGTGTGCCGTCCTAATCCGATAAGAATCGGACAGCGTTCCTCTATCAAAGGTCTGACAGCTGGTCTCCACAGTTCTCCAACATTTAAGGACTGCTATTAAGATGCAATGGATTACTTGTTCCACTAGGCTTCCAGAAAGCCAGACTGCCTGTCAGTTAGCTCCTGGTAGACTTGTTTGATGCGTTTTTGAATAACTTTTCGCATCATTGGCGTCTCTAAAACAAAACAATGAAAATGAGGCATGGCTAGAATAAGTAATGAAACTGCTGTGATAAAGAGAACACTGGAGTAAGAGGAGGGTTTTAATGTGGATGGGCCTTATAAAATAAGCATATTCCTCTCATGTGTGACTGCATCACCGTGAATCCTATTGTGCGCACAGTCTAACCTTGCTGTTTGAGTTTATGGAGCTCTGTTTGATGCTTGTTACTTAAAGGGATTCCAGAGCAGCTGAATTAGAGATGACAGCACATAAATGCCATCAACTCCTGCAGATTTCAAGGGTCTGACAGTAAAGGCAAAGCAAGCCTTTCACAAAGTCTGACAGCCTAAAGTGGAGGTGCTGGAAGACCTGACATTGCATCAGTTTCAGGTCTTCTGCTATGCGTTTGTACAATACATTAAGAACTTTAAACAAGTGCTGAGATGTTTGTTTTTCAATGCAATCATTCATAAAATCGCCTTTTGTGTATGACACAGTCAAACGATGGCATCTTTGTGCTTCTTCTCATGGCTTTGCATCAGGTGCATATGAAAAGAAAAAGAAGTGCTTTGCGGAGGAGTTTTGGATTTGTCCAGGCTGACAACTTCATTTTTAGTTGGTGAAGCTGAGCTTTTGCCTTTGGATGGTTTTGTGTGAGACATAGCGTGCCTTGTGTTTTTGGATGAGCTATGCTCACCAAAGTGCAGTCTGCTCTTGTTCCCTCTTGACATCTAAGAAGCTCTTTCATCCAAGCATGTGTCAGAGTGTCTGGCTGTTAAGATATGCTGACCCCACATTTTAAACGACCCGAAACTCTTATCAGGGAGGGACTGCTTAATTTGTAGTGCAGCTTTTGTTGAGGAGAATGACCTCCCTGTTGGCATATTTAATTGATCTTAAACACGAGAAATAATTAAATATGTCATCATTTCACAGGTCTCTTGTTGAAGTGCAACTGGTCTAAATAGAGACATAAATAAGATCATCAGCTTAAGCAATTGTCTGTTGTGTACAATGAAAACACTGCCATTTCCATGCTGCCATTAGAATGTGTGAACATGGTGTTTAAGGTTAGTGATTATCTCTTACACAAAGGGTCTGAAAAAGTAAATGAACATACAGTAGCTGGTCTTTTTTTTCTCCGGCTTAGATGTTGACTGCATGGTGCTCAGACTGAAAGTGAGAGAGGACTCTTGCTGTTCTTTCTCCAACACCTTAGAGATGTAGCCCAGAAAGAAGGACCCTCCTGGGGCTCAGGAGCGGTCACACTCTCCGTTTATCTCAATTAGCCTACACTTCAAACTGCTGCTGTTATACTGAAATCTCATCACTGGGGTATGATGGCACTTGTAACCTCCATAAAACCTCCATAAAAGGAAAACGTCTCAATGGCAGGCGGCATAGAGGGCGAAAGGATGTGCTAGGACAAAGGCGAATCACGTATTGTTTGTTGGGGCATGGGACCTTCACGTTGCATATTCACATGCTATATTATAAATCTTTCCTGATGATTCTCCTAAATCAGTTTTCTCCCGCAAAATATGCATGCCAGGGGCCTTGGCTACTGATGACACGTTGCTGATTACATCATTATCCTTGAATCAAGGGAGCCTTGTGTTTGTTGATCTTTCAAGTTCTTTTAAACTGCTTTTGCCCCTCAGGACATTCACACACACTCTCTTTCAAAGGTCCCACTAATAACTGCACAAAACATCCGAACCAGCACTGTTGCTTAGAGTTGTATCTGCAAACAGGGAAGAAAAAAAAAACGGATACGGATGTGCAGCAGAGATTTTCTGCTTTTGGTAAAAGGTGGATATCTTTGAAAATAGCAGCCAGCAGGAGATACCAGAAAGAGAAGCTACATTAGGGTTTGAGACTCTGTCATACCGAACAGACCTCATTTATAAAGCAACAATTCAGCAAGAGCACCATCAGACACTGAAAAGAAAGTATCACCTTTCTGAAGGTGTGGATCTGCCATGAGAATGCTGTTAAGGTTTGATTTATTCGAACTTCATATAACTGCTGAGCTGAGCAGAAGTCATAGTGGTGTGCAGGGCTGAATTTAGTGGGAAAAAGCTATGTAACCCCCAAGACTCTGCTTTATAATATATACCTAGGTGTTGGAGATCTGTTTAACTCTGGTGGTATTTGCCCTTTGGGAACCCAGATCACATATCAGTCATAAAGTGGCTTTTATTTGCTTTACATTGTTGATCCCGCCGGCACAGTGGTGCAGTGGTTAGCACTGTCACCACCGAAAAAAGGTTCAACGTACCTTCCTGGGATTTATCTGGGCACTTTTCTCCAGCATCAGCTGCCCATGACAGTCCAGAAACATGGATTTGGGATTATTGAATTCATTCGTTCTAATTTGACTGTATGCACAAGTGTGTGACAGCGTTGTTGTCTGGCAGGGATTAAACTGCCTCTCAGTGTGACAGCTGGGATAGGCTCCTGCGATAGATACTCCTCTTAAAACACTAAAGTGGATAAACATGCACAAACTGGAGGCAGGTGGAATCACTAACTCTACAAATTGTAAATCTATGACAGGATTATTACTGACTGGTTGATGCAACATTTGATATACTTGATAAAAGATATGTACAGCTTATTGAAATAGGATTTTATTATTCACACTCGCCTGAATGTTCAAGATGCCTTGGATCAAACTCTGATCCACTTCTAATTGAACATGGATACTGAAGATTGATTGTCATAAATCCCATATGCACATCTCAATTAAACATTCAGTTTTCGCCCTATAAAGGTAAATGTAGGTACTTTAGTTATTTTTACACCATATATCCTCTAAAATCTAAAGAGCATCGCTACAGTTCGGATTTAGCTTCTGAGCATTCACTGCTTGGTTCTACAGTAGACAATGTCTGCAGGCTGCTTTTTCCTTCAAATCATTGTAATTCACTGAATGACTGTAATTACAGACACACAAATACGGGGATTATTTAGATCTATGTTTTCTTTGGCAGTTAGTCAATGGATGTGGTTCAATTACGTTGTCATGGAGAGTGGTTAAGTAGATGGAGTCTGATGCTATTAATCAGCAATATCTCAACAAATAACACAAGAGAAGAATGAAGCTTCCAGTATCTCCCATGGTACTTGAGTTTTATTTAGGGAAGC